CCCTCAAAAACACTCTGGAATTTTTGGAGGAAGATGGTAGGGAGGAATGGGCAGAACGGTTAATGAAATAGAAATGCATCATAGGTACATCACATAAAATGAAACAATGAGACAGGTTTCTCATGCTGCTGAGCCAACAGCCTAATCAAATCATGAGAAGACTCCATCTGGCATGTAACAATACTAAAAATAGCCTGACCTTATTTAGGGATCTATCAGGCTATCAGTTGTGGTTAGTAATGTCAGAAAAAAATACCATTTTGATTCATCTAAATTTGATAGTCCATGCTTATTGCAGTGTTTATTTTTAAATAATTTCTACATGGTATAAAATGGATTACTTAACTTTGTTATGGTAAGCACAATGAAAATGACAGTTATTTATGAAAAAATAGATTTTAATAAAGGGAAAATTACATGTTTTATCTTTTTAAAGCGGCATTTTATTTTATGCAAAAACATGACTGGAAAGCACTAACTAGTTGTCATGAAAAGCAACTTAGGAAAACCTAACAGGCAGAAATAAAAAAATATTGTGTCAAAAATGTTTGTGTGAGATAATATCACTTACTTATACATTCATTTGCCTTTTAATTTTATTTAACGAGTTGATTTAGAAATGTTACTCAGATTTCTGGAAGGCACATTCAATAGAAAGAATTGAAGGACAACCATCTAAGACTAGAGAAAGACAGGATATGAAAAAAAGAATGCGAGCATCGGAAACATGACCCAATTATTAAGATCCAAAAAAATTCTTCCGGTTCTTCCCATCAGTCTTCCTGGACTGCATCTGTACTTGGACAATGGGAGCTAAATAGCAGGGATGAATAGCAGGGATCTAAGATTACTACACTAAGATCAGCACTTCTGGATGTTTTAGAGACTCTACAGTTATGAGAGAGAATCAGTGACTCTATGCCCACTTACATTGAGGCTTGTTTTAGCTCTGGATAGAAAATATTTGAATTTAATTTGGATTCTCTGATCCGTTAAATAATTTGTCCCCATAGTGTTAGGTGTTTATTTTATGGCAACTAAAAAACAATAGTACCTTTCAGAAGCACTAATAACTAGCTAGTTAACTCTAAGGATACTTAAACACTCACTAAAGGTGTCCCTAGTCTTCCACCAGGCATGTGAGAAGGTCCTGACAGTGCTGAAAAAGCAGTTGCTTGACTGATCTTTAAGCTGCAAAAATCATAATTAAATCTAGCTTTCTGTTATCTCTCTGAATTGACCTGTCCAGAAAAAAAATATTTTAGGGCATATCTGCTAAATTACATTTCCTGTAAAATAAATTGTATGATGATGGCGGCAGAATCATACACTTAGCTCACCCGGTTTGGAAAATCTGTCTCTATATTTCCAAACACTTAAGAGAGAGAAAACCTCCCTAACAGTCCATGATGTTATAGACTATATTGCAGGACCCAAACAATATTATAGGCTGTACTGGATTTTGCTGGGGTGGAGTTCATTTTCCCCACAGTAGCCCATGTAGTGGTTGAAACAAGGTTGGTAACACACCAGTGTTTTAGATATTGCTGAACACAGCTTGCACAGCATCAAGGCTTTCTCTCCTTCCATTTTTTCCCTTCTTGTCCCAGGAGCAAGTTGGTTGGGGGTAGGTTAAGGGTTGGGAGGGGACGCCACCAGGATAGCTTATCCCAAATGACCAAAGGGATATTCCAGATCATACGGTGTTGTGCAATAAAAGCTCAGGGAAAGGAGGAGAAAGGGGTCCTGCTTATGACATTTGTCTTCCCATATAATAGCTACACATGATGAAACCTTGCTTTCCAGGAAAAGTCTAAACATCTGCCCCCTGATGGGAAGTATGAATTAATTCCTTATTTTGCTTGACCTGCATATGCAGCGTTTGCTTTCCCTATTTAACTGCCTTTATCTTAATACACAACTCTGCTTGTCTACCTCCTATTTTTTTCCTGACCTGCATCAGAGAGGAGTGAAAAGAGTGTTTGGCTATTAGCCAGAGTCAATCCACCACATGCTGTCACTAAACCTCTTTTGGGAAGGTTCCCTGGGTGAGGTGAGGACGCACAAAATAGCTAACATGCATCTGGCCCAGTGACTACAGCATCTTTCTAGCAGAGGAAACATCAAAACATGAAACCAAAATAAATTAAACTGAATTACTGCTAGGAGCACAAAGGAAAATACAGGTCTCCCTGTATATTGGTTTGGAGAAAGAGGTAATTTGTTCATCATTTGTCTTTGTGTCTCATTTTAGAGAACGTTCAAGCATACAAACCCTGATCGTAAGGAAATGCCTATTTGTAAGGCAGAGACACAAAGTCCTGGGGGCACTATGGTGACCTGGGCTCAGCAGATACACTTCACTGTGACCTTTGTTACTGGCTAGTCTAAATAAGTCCTTCTAGGATAGCGCTGCTGTGACTCATATCCAAGAGAAATAACTCGTCCCAGGCACCAGGTAAGAGAAAGGTGACTAATTCAGAGTTGTCTATTTCTAAAATAAGCACCTTCTGTGTATTTATCTAGTTTCACATCATGTGTTGGAGACTGAAATAGCCCACAAACACTTCTCAGTCTACTGTCAATATTTCTCTTGAATGTGTTTGGTCGTTAGTTCTTTATTATTTAAGAGAAAAGAACACTAGTTAAAAGTGGTATAAAAGTGCGTAAGTATTGATAGACTGTTTTATGGGAATAAATCGTACACATTGAGCATCTTGCCACTAGTGGAATTGCACCTTTATTTAGGAATTCTAACATCGAAGCTGCAGAGGATCATGGGCACAAGCCCAGCACTGAAAATGAGAACTGTGGTTCCCAGTGTCCCTCAGAAGAACTAGAGAACATTAAGTGTAAAATGTTTCATCAAAAAACAGGAGAAAAGCTAGATGGCCATATTGAAAGTGAGACTATAGCGGATGGTTCTGATGTTAGAATGAAGAACTGAGACAGAAATGATAAGAAACCTTTGAAGAAAGATGAATGCAAATGAACAGAGAAATTTAATTTAACTTTTCCACCCTTCCCAATGGTTGATATTCCCAACAAGGGATTTAATTCTGTTCTGCTTTACAGCACTGTCATTCTACTAAATTGTTCTTGTCTGTGATCTTTACATGTGCTCTGCACCATAATTTCTAAGTTTATGAATTGGCAGTAACAAACAAACTGGCCAGGAAAGACAACCCCTATTAAATTCCTTTATCATCAACAGTGTTCTGAAAGACAGAACCCAGCAAAATGATTGGTGTAGGTAGATAAATAATTAGGCTTATGCATTTGTAGGATAGGAAACAGATGTGAACAAAACACAACAAATGAGAGACATTAATTAGGAATTTATGTTTAAAAACATAACTAAGATGATGCAGGAAGAAAGACTAGACATTGGCTGGCTAGCTTTGTGCTTCTTGCTTTTCTTGCCTCCAGTCATTTAAGCCTGTTATTCTCTTTGTGATGTGTTTGTTTGCTTTGTCTTTCTCTGTGTCCTTAATGTTCAACTATATTTGATTTTACAGTCTAAAATCACAATGATATCAAATGCTTGTAGAAAACCAGGGTTTTTTTAAGCTCTAATAGAAACATGCATTTATTTTAGTATAACTTTTTTCCTAGAAGTCATACAAACAAAGAGACATTAATAAGAAAATATTAAGTAAATTAGTTTGAACTGTTATTTATCATGAGCAACTTTCATCTACAAAAGAAGTGTAGATAGACAAATGAAGAGCTGTTTGCACCATTTTAATATTACACTGTGAATCTAGGTATCATTCTAATAAGTAAGCAGGGTGCACACTGCTCTAAAAAGAAATATTCATACTTTATGTCCCTGTTAATGAGGACAGCCTTAATGAAGAAATTTCTTTCTTTCTTTCTTTCTTTCTTTCTTTCTCTTTCTTTCTTTCTTTCTTTCTTTCTTT